GACCCAGGCTGCTGACCTCCTGGCTGTCCGCACTGTCTCCCCTCCTTCCTGTTTGCTGTGATTGGTGCCAGTGGCCGAGTCACAGAGTGTGGGCTGTGGGGACAAGGACCACAGAAAGACCGAGTCACTCAAATGTCTCGTGTGACCTTGAGGCCAAAAAAAGCTCCTGTCAACCAGGGGCTACCAGGGCACCCAGGAAGGAAACTGACCACAGGGCCACCAGGGCTCCTAGGTCCACATCTGTGGTGGTGTCCCCAGTCCTTGCCCGTGCGTGGCTCGGCCTCACCTAAGAGATGTTGTCCCCCTTCCTTCCTGGCCCTGCTCCCAGGCATCTGTGGGCCTTAGGAGCTCTGTGCACACAATTGAGGACACCGTTGGGAAGATGCTACTGCAGAGGGACCTGCGTGCCATCACCAGGACTTGCCAGGCTGTGTCATTACTGCCAAATCCTGTGCATCCTCCCAAGGATGGCCTGCCCCACTCAGAGCACGGCTCTTTGCTTCTCCGCTGGTAGATGCGGCAGCCAAAGCCTCACCTGCGCCTTGTAGTCTACACCAACCTGCCCCGGATACCGTCCACGGAGGCCTGCAGAGGTTTCCTGTTCTAAGGGTCCTTCAGTGCTCTCTTCCGGACTCGGCATGGCTTCCCTCATCCATCACCTACTGAAAGGTGACTTTAAAACCTCAGACACTGATAGCACGAACAACAGTGGAAGACGTTTTCTCCTGCTGTGAGTAAGCTTCAGGGATCAGCACCTCAGTGCAACACCCAGTGTTAACCCCGCCACACTGAGTGCTTGAAAACTTGCTGAGAGGGTCACTCTCAGAGGAAGTGTCCTTATTATGAAGAAGGGGTACACAGAGGCTTGGCAGGTGATGGTATGTGTATCACTTTGATGGTGCTAATGCATGGCTGAACGCATACATCCAAATTCGTCAAAGTGTACATACACATTAAACATGTGCAGTTTTTACATCAATTATCCTTCAATAAAGCCGCTTTAAAAAACATCAGTTTGAACAAAAAACACGTCTTCCACATAATTCTTTAAGAACATTTGAGAACCTGTCTCTAGAGGAAACTTCCAAGAGGTGGACTCGTGATGTCAAAGATAAAGAAACGTGAGACTATTTACACGGCAGATGCGCTGGGTTCTGACCGTAGAACACCCCGCCAGCGGAGCCACCGGCCGCACAGGATCCCAACAGGCTCCGCCCAGAGTCACTGCCCGAGAGAGAACCATCAGGACCCCACCCACCACAGGGGAGCTGGCGCGCGGTCCAGCCCCGCACTTTCGTTACATGCCGCCCGAGGAGACGCAAATAAAAAATTCGTCATGTCCTACAAATGGAAACTCCCATCGTGACTGCGCGTCTGAATGAGAAAAGCAAGGCCCGTTTATTTTTTATCTGCTCCAATAGCTCAGAGCCATGGCGAATCTGCCGGCGCCCTCACCGGAAGTGCGGCCTCCCGCCGGAAGTTGCTCTTCCCCCATTTTGTGGCCCCCATGGCGGCGGTGTTGCGGTTGTGGCCGGGATGCGGAGTCTTTGACTGAGGGGGTAGGCCAGGCGAGGGAGAGGGGACGTCGCGCGGCTCAGCAGACGACCGGCCCGAACGCCGGGGACGCTGTCATGTACGGCGCGGGAGGCGGCCGCGCCAAGCCCGAGCGGAAAGGCGGCGCGAAGGAGGAGGCCGGGCCCGGCGGCGCGGGCGGTGGGGGCAGCCGAGTGGAGCTGCTGGTCTTCGGCTATGCTTGCAAACTGTTCCGGGACGACGAGCGGGCCCTGGCCCAGGAGCAGGGACAGCACCTCATCCCCTGGATGGGGGACCCCAAGATCCTCATCGACAGGTCGGTTCCTCCCCCGCCCGCCGCGTCTCCCCTCCCTCGCCCGCTTGATTTCGCCTGATGTTGACTCGGTGGCCGGGACCGGACCGGGGTCGTGCGGAGCCGCGGGGCGCGTGCGGGGAGGGGACGGTGAAGCCCGCCCGGAGGCTCTGCGGGAGCGCCTCGCCGGGCCGGGGAGCCGGGGCGCGTTGCTCCTGAAACCTGTTTGGGACCCGAAGTCAGCCTGAACCGTTCCTGGCGCGGCGCCCCTGGCCGGCAGGACCCCGACGCCCGAGCCCCTCGCGCGGGAGGGTCGCGGCGAAGTCGGCTGGAGGCGGCCCCTGGCCCGCGGGGTCGCGATCTTGGGGCCGGTTTCACTGTCTCCGGCAGCCGAGGGGTGGAGTTGGACTCCCAGTGCTTTGTCTCCTCTCAAATCACGCCCGTGTTAGGCGATCCCTCCCGGGGCTTGAGCGATCGTGGGTTCGGGCAGAAGGGCCGGGATTGGGATTCCTAAAGGTGCTTGATTTGAAGAGGATGACTACGTGGTGTAGGTTGTTTGCTCCCCCTCTTACTTTCTCAGGCCCCCTTTCCTCCTCCTCCCCACCGAGGTTTGGGATTTGTTGCCAGTTGGGCAGCACTGCTTCTGGGGCCCGGACCGAAAGGCTGACAGTGACCGGCCGTTAAGCTGCGGCGTAGTCTCCGAGGGGAGGAGGCCCGTCGCTTGGGACGATTAGAACTGGATTCTGCAGAGCCCCGGAACGTGACTGTAGGGATGACCTCTGGGCTGGCCAGAATGGACTCATTAATGGCCAAGCAGGCCTTTGCCATCCCTCATGTTTCCACCTGAAGGTGGATCTAGGAAGCAAAGACTCCTGGAGGGAGGGGAACCGAGCAGATCAGCTCTGGACCCAGTGGCTTCGGCTCTGCCCAAGTGCTGAGCCTTGAACTTCCATGGTTATTGCAAATAATGTTGCCTCAGTTACCGGCTTGCTTTCCAAAGTGTGTCTTGTGACATGTATCACTAAGCTCGGCTCTTGATACAGTTTCCGTATCATTCTGTACATGATTTGAGTTAGGTCTCCCAAATCTGGTGGGGAGCAAACCCTACACATGTAATATTTTTTAGTAATAATCTACATTTGTAAGTTAAGGAGGTTTACGTCAAAGTAAAACTAATTTTTAAATTTAATAAAATTCAGTGCTTGGGTTCCTTGGGATTTATGGACTTTTTTTCTGTTTAATTGATTCCTATTTCAAAAGTCAGTGCTAATAAATGAAGCAGACTTTTGTCACTTTACATGTGCTTTTGCAACTCAAAATCTGAGTGTTTTTCTTAAAAATTCAAAGATTCATTTATTATCTGATAGTTATGTATCGTCAACATCTTCACTGAATCTTTCGTGTTGAAACGTAGCAAGCAGAAAGTGTTCTCATTCTCAGTTTGGTACTTACTGTTCATGCAAGAAAAACATGGATTCGTTTTCACTTATTTTGTTTCCTGGGGTATGAAGTCTAGAGGGAACACTTATTTTGTTTCCTGGGGTATGAAGTGTAGAGGGAAGTACTGACACTGCATCTTCTAGCGGTGTTGCCCGTCGTGAACCTCCTTAAACTGCATGTATATGTGACTGTTCCTATGTATGTGTGTCTCTCTACCACATAACCCAGCACTTCTTTCCTCAGCCAAGTGGCTAGGGGGCGAGCCTAGCCAAGATTTTACCTCCAATGGACGCAAGTGTCTTTGATGAAGATCTCTCCTGAGCGTTCGGGACTAGCAGAAAGAAGCGAGGAAATTTCGACCGTTTGGTTCTTACGGATAGGTATTTATGTATTTGGTTTGTGTGAATATAAGCTATAATATTTAACTCTTCAGAAAAAGTTTGTTTTTTTTTTGTTTCTTATTTTTTTTTGCAAGTGGCATTGAATGGTTGACCCAACCATACACGGTAAGATCTGCTAGTGAGGCGGATGCCGTTTATGACAAAAGGACTGTCCGTCTTAGTTATTAGCCTTAAAGCACTATGGAACACAGTTCAGACTTTGTAAAGATAACGTGAGTTTAAAAGTAGGTGAGAAGTGACTAGCCACATTAAATATAAATCGGAAGAGTTTGACATTTGTTTTAATACTTTTATTTCATTATTTTAATTGGTAAGTATATACCTAGTCTGTCACAGGCAACCAGCCCAGGCGTTGACTTCTGTCTGCTGACCAGCATATTCGCATTACAGATATGATGGGCGCGGTCACCTGCATGACCTCTCTGCGTATGATGCTGAGTATGCCACTTGGAACAGAGACTACCAGCTGTCGGAAGAGGAGGCGCGGGTAGAGGCGCTGTGTGATGAAGAGAGGTATTTAGCCTTGCATACGGACTTGCTTGAGGAGGAGGCAAGGCAAGGTACTGCTCAAGAAAGACTTACTTCAGCCACAACTTTTTACAATTTTAAGTATTTAAAAATTTACTCCCATTCATTTTTTTATACTCACTCTTTCTGATATTATCTTGACAGTACCCAGTGGATTGGAAAAACAGGAGTCTTTGCGTTCTGAGAGGACCTCAGGATAGTTTATATATAGAGCCACAAAGAATTTTCCCAGCTTTTGAGGGCAGACTGGGATTTGAAAAAACAAAAACCAAACTCTTTAACTGTTCTTCTTTAACAGTATCGTATGAATTAAAATTGATGTTCTTGTCTTTGCCTTAACGATCTTTAATACAGTTCTTAATCCCAAAGTTTTCTTGGCAGGAAGAAATTTTCCACAAAAGATGTGTATTCTGCTGTCTGTGGTAAACATGTACTGGCAAAAGTACATATTGATAACTGTAAAGTGTGTGTGTGTTTAGAAACATTTGTACCTCAAAAAGAGGTTGAAGACAGTGTGTTATATGCTTTACTGACTGATAGCTACAACCTTAGAGATGTATGAAATTTTTCTGAGTAAACTTTATTTTTGTTAATAAAATTCTCATTTTTATTCAAGAGGAAGAGTACAAGCGATTGAGTGAAGCCCTGGCAGAAGATGGTAACTACAGCGCTGTCGGGTTCACTTACGGCAGCGACTACTATGACCCGTCAGAGCCCACGGAGGAGGAAGAGCCTTCCAAACAGAGAGGTGAGAGAGGAGGGCGCCTGGCTCACTGGTGAGCATAGGGGCAGCAGCCCTGCCACTTCCAGATCCTGGGAGAGATGGCTAACGAGTGGAAGATGAATTCAGACCCATACTGCCTTTTCATGTGTCCCTCTTCAGTTCAGGGGACAGTGAGGTGCCCCCCGGATTCTTTGTTCCTAGGCTGTGACATCCTTGTCAGTATCCTCCAAGGTTCATTCTGAGGCATTGTCGGGTAGGCATTGGCTAGGACGGATGAACATTACCTTTCCCACACACAGCCTGCTTCTGTGTCTTTCCTCCACAGCTGCTGTGATGGCAGGAGCTGGGGAGACACCCAGAGAGTCGGTTATTGCTAGTAGAAAGCAGCGCAAGACTTTATTTTTTCCCACTACTGGGGAATTGAACCTGGGGCCTTTGGACTGAGCTAAATTCCCTAGGCTTGTTTTTTATTGCTGCTGCTGCTGTTGTTTTGTCTTTGTTTGTGGCGGTGTTGTTGTTATTTTGTGGAGGAGGTTGTTTTGGCTTTTTTGAGACAGGATCTCACCGTATAGTTCAGGCTGGACTTGAATGCGTTATATAGCCCAGGCTGACCTTGAACTTGCAGCAGTCCTCCTGCCTCAGCCTTCGGGATACTGGGATTACAGGCATGTGCTACCTGTTTTGGTTTTTGGGATAGGGTCTTGTTAAGTTACCAGGTTGCCCCAGGCTGGGCTTGAATTTGTGAACCTCCTGCCTCAGTTTCCCAGTATGCTGAGATTATAAGCATGTGCCACCATGCTCGGCTACATAAGACTTTTAATATAAAATTAAAAGTCTTAATTCTCTTTTTTTTTTTTTTTTTTTGGTATCAGGAATCTAACTTAGCACCTTGCGCTTGCCAGGCAAGCGCTCATACTACTGAGTTATATCCCCGGCTAAAATTAAAAATGAGTGTTTAAATGAGTGTTTTCTTGGGTCAGTTCTGGGACTTTGAGTATAAAACATAGTGCTGTCCAAAAAACCCAGCTTCACACAGTATAGTGGGAAATGTCCTTGGCCACTTCCTTAAGGCCTGGAGCATCATCCCAGTGCTATATACCAATCCGTTGCCAGTTGGAGACAGCAATAGAATGTGAGGCTGAGGTACTGAGGACCTTCCCCTACCTGCAAGGACACTGTGTGGGAGAGGAGGAGAGCTCTGACTTTGGAAAGGCATTCAGATGTGTGGAACAGCAACTCAGATCACAGCTATTGAGTGTTCATGTCAGAGATAACTTCCTCTGTTACCTGGGACCACATTCGTTGTCCTTGAGTAACAAGTCTGAGGGAGCTGCACGAGGGTCCCCTGCCCTCCTCAAAGGGGCATGATTGAGGCAGGGCAGCAGATATCCACAGGCTTTCCTTTCTGTCCTTCTGCCAGGCCCCCTGTGATCCTTCAGACAAGAATCCCATGCACAGTGCTGTTTTGTGAGCTTGCAGACTCTCCAAGTATAGTTCAAAGCGCGCAGAGTTCAGCTTTGGCTAATACTTTATGTGTAGACCCGTGAGCCTGTCCTTCTGAGGTTATGATACGCTGGAAATCTTGTAGGTGTAAGAAGTGAACATTTATCCAGAATAAGATCCCTGCTAGGGTTCCAAATTGTTCAGATTTTGTCATCTTATCTCTGGATCACATAAATTATTTTTCTTAAAATCCAGTTTTTATCAGAAGGAAGGTGCAAATTATCACCATGTCACAAAGAATAGAGGTATACACATGGAAAATAAATACATGAGAAAATGTTCAACGTCGTTAGTCATTCGAGAAATGCAAATTAAAACAACATTGAGATTCCACCCTACCCCAGTAAGAGTGGCTAGCATTAATAAATCAACCAATAACAAATGCTGGCGAGGCTGTGGAGAAATAGAACCCTTCTCCACTGCTGGTGGGAATGCAGACTGGTGAAACCACTGTGGAAATCAGTTTGGAGATTCCTCAGAAAACTAGGTCTAGAGGTCCCATTCAACCCAGCTATTCCCCTTCTGGATATTTTCCCTGAAGATCTAAAAACATCATGTCACGGCGATACATGTGCACCTGTGTTCTTAGCAGCACAATTTGTAATTGCTAAATTGTGGAAGCAACCCAAATGTCCATCCACTGAGGATTGTATAAGAAAATTGTGGTACTTTCATATAATGGAATATTACTCAGCTATAAAGAAAGATAAACTCGAGGCCTTTATAGGTAAATGGTCACAACTAGAGACCATACTCATAAGTGAAATAAATCAGACCTGCATGTGCAAGCACCGCATTGTTTCACTACTATAAAACCTGAAAGAGTTAATTTAAACTAGGAGGTATGATAGACATTGTGAAATGATAGGAAAACACTCAAGGGTAAAAGACAACTGGGATGTGGGAAAAGAGAAGGGAAAGAAGGAGAAATTTTATATCTGTTGTACAGGATAGTTAACATAGTTGATCTACTGTTTTCTATTTCTTTGCTGAAAGAAACTGTTGAGTCCTTGATTGATCAATATTGCATGTCTCTATCAGTTTTCATGAGAAACCACTTTGAAGATATCAGTATGTAATACAACAAGCATTGTTAATTTCCTACCACTTTGTTCGTAACTCTGTATTGTCTGTACTGTTCTTTTGCTGTTTTGTAAAAGGTTGTCTGTCAATGTTTTCCTCCTTTTATTTTTAAAATAATAAAAAAAAAAGAATAGACGTGTATAAAAGGCACCTTTTTCGAGCTCATTTAATCTTTAGGAAAGTCCATCTTCCTAACATTGTAGAGTAGGTGTGAGGAGGCTGTTACCACACGCCCTGTTGCCAGATTTTTATAAATAAAGCTTTATTGGCACATAGCCATGCCCATTTTTGTGCTGTGGGTTTATGTTCCTACAGCAGAGCTCAAAGCTGAGACAGACTCTGGCCACAGAGCTGGCAGCACCTGCTGCCTAGCGTGGCTGTCTGTCCATCCACTGTTGATGTGGGTAGCATCATTAGTGCACTAAGTGATGGTAACCTTTGCTCTAATGATTTAATTCTGTCAGTGTCCATGTGACTTTATCGTCTATAAAGTTCTTTGTAGTATTTTGTAATGTTCTTTTCTAGAATCATATTCTAAGCATATGCTAATTAATTTTTTTAATGGAAATTGGGCTTCAGTGACACAACTTGACATTTTATGTTTAATTTGTGCATAGAAATGAAACACCGTCACATACTTAACAGAAATCAGTGTGGAGTCCGGCATCATTGACGTCCAGGCTCTGTCACATTCTTTGAAATAAAAAATAATTTTGTGCCTTCCTGAGCCATTACCATGATTTTTTAAATTAACATATTAGCATTTTTAGTATTTTTAGGCTCATGGTCCTGGCTAGAAGCATTTGCTGAGCCTTTGTGTCTGTCAGCATAGCCTGACTTGCCTCCCCTCAGCAGCCCGTCTTGCCAGCCTGGTCCCTGTGCTCTGTGCTTTCATCATTACTCATCCATCTTTTAGAAGAAAGGTTATTTGAATTTATGTGGATCTGGGTTTGTGTTGTAGTAGTTTTTATTTCATGCTGCTAAAGCTGCCTCTCTGTGAACAGGCATATGTCAGAATGGACCAAATCTCTATCCATCTGTTTCAGACTCTTTTTTTCTACTAGAATGCCTTTATGCTGAAGAACAGCTTCACATTACGGAAAGGGTATTGGAATAGACCATAGGTTTTAATCTCTTTTTATATTTTAGGAAAATACAGTGAAAGTTGTGCCTTGTTCGAATTCCCAAAAAGGGTTTGAGAAAGCTCAGTAGTTACTTGGCATTTTTCCGATAGCAAATCCTTGTAAATTAGTGTTTGTGATACGTTGCAATTCTACTGTGTCATCTGGCTGCTGGAGCCAAGCAGCAGGGCTGCTGATTTCGGAACATCTTGAGCCAGCGGTGACTCTGCCCTCTCAGAAGAGAGCAGGGGACCCATAAGCAGATGTGAGGGACACTGTGCATCTCTCACCTGAGGTCTGTAATCATCTTGGGTCTCCTCAGAGTAGAAGCCTCGTGCTGTTACATACAGTGAAACCCGCTCAGGACGCATCCTTGGGCTCACCAAGGAGCTGGGTTTGAAAGAAGACACCTGTAGATTGTTGATCTGCCCGAGAGGTGCGCTGTGCGTGGTGGGAACGTTAATTTTAATGAAGATTTCTTTGTTTCTTTAGTGCTGTCTTTTTCAGAATAAAACCTAAGTGTATGCTGAAATCTTTTAAAGTGTTGTGTTTTGCCGAGCATGATGACATATGTCTGTAATACCAGCACTCTAGGAGGCTGAGGCAGGAGGATCACAAGTTTTACCCAGCTTTGGCAATTTAGGGACTTAGTGAGGTCTTGTCTCAAAATTAAAAAAAAAAAAAAAAAGTTCTGGGGATGCAGCTCAGTGAGAAGACCCCTGGGTTCCATATTAGTGCACCAAAAAAGTTCCTTTTTAAAGTTAGGCTGATTTTTGTACATTTCACCGTGTCCCTTTGAAGTAGTAATTGTGGGTCATTGAGATGTATTTGGGAACTTGGAAATTTATGAAGTTGTTAAGTGTAGTACCTTGTCTAGCACATAGACAAATATTCCTTGAATGAGTCATTAATGAAGAAATAGAAATGGCAAAGTAAATCAGATTCTCTGAAAAAGAGACCAGCTGCTTAGGTGGAGCGGCTTTGACAGTGTTGACCAGGTGCTTTACAATTTGATGATCAGGATTGGTTACCTTGCGGCTAAGAAGCCACTGAGTAGTGGGGGGGCGGTGTCAGTGCCGACGCCATTGAGCCCCACGCCTGTATTGAGTGGCGCATCCTGCCCTGTGAAGCTGTCACCCGTCCCCTCCGACCTGCAGCCACTCTCCGGGCCTGCACCTCACCTGACCCTGCAGCATGCTCCTCCTCCTCCTCTGGGGGAACCAAGGAGGTCTGCTCCGCTGTGATGGGCTGAGCAGGAGAGAATGTGTTCAGGAGGCGGGGGTGGGGGATGAGGGCCGGGAGAGCTGTTGCCGCTCTTCAGTATCGTTGCCCATCTGCAGTGCCTTCTTCCCTAGTTGTCAGTCTCAAGTTTTTAATTCTCTTTTACAGAAAAAAATGAGGCTGAACATTTGGAAGAAAATGAAGAGCCTTTCATAGCCCCATTAGGACTGAACGTCCCCCCGGATGTGGAGCTGGTACGTAGCACCTTCACAAGCATTGTGCATCCTCATTGCCGCCAGTAGATCAGGCACTGTGGGGGTCTTCAAGCTGATGGGGAGGAGGTCGCACTCCACCGTGTTGCCTGGAAGTTAGGTGGAATTAGAGCAGGCGCTCGACGTGCTGTGTCTGTGTGAGCGGTCATGGGTCGAGTCCCCAGCTCGCTTGGCGTGGACAGACTGCATCAGAGCTGGCAGTGCCCCAGTGCATGGCTTGGGCCATGTTCTGGCATTTTCTGATGTGGTTCTTGGGCATGCGATCTCTGCCATCCATCCTCTGGGCAGTGTTGCCTGTTGTGATTTGTCTCCAAGCCCTGCCCAGGCTGCCCGACCAAGAAGGACAGCCAAGGTAGGGCTCATGTGGTCTCACCACACAGTCTCAGTTGGTAAGTTAAGGCTCAGTTACAACAGGTTCCAAGCAAACAGGTTTGGTTTGGTTTCTGAACATTTATAGAGGGAGTTCTACATTCTAGGCCCTGGGGTAAGACGCTTTTTATGCATTTTCTCTTGTAGTGTTAACAACCCTGTAAGTACCATTGCTTCCTTCATTTTATAGGTGAGGAAACTGCAACTAGAGGAGGTCACAAAATATTGATCAGAGGCAGGATCAGACCTGGGTCTCAACTGTCATGCCTGTTTGCTATGCTTTATAGGGTTTTGTGTTTGTTTTCTTTCTGTTTTTGAGACAAGATCTCACTATGCAGTCCAGGCTGGCCTTGAACTCACTGTGTAGCCCCAGCTGGCCTCCAGCTCAAGGTGATCTTCCTGCCTCAGTCTCCTGACTGTTGGGATTACAGGTGTGCACCACCATTGCTGGCTTTTATAGGGTTTTTATGTACTTACTAGGGATGTTTAAAATGTCTATTATACGTGCACGCCTGTGAAGGGTTTCCCAAGTATTCACGCTCAGCAAAAAGTATTCTCTTTGACCTTTACCTGACTGGACTGTGAGTGCTGGGGTGCAGGTGTCTGGTCGTATGTATGTGCAGTGTGCTGAGTCCCTGGGCAGGCGGCAGGCGCCCGACATTCTCCACAGGTCCGCTTGCTGCCAGCCCAGGTTAGTTCAGTGTAACTTCCACGGCCTTGCCCTCTCTCCCCTGCTTTTCAAGTGGAGAAGGCAGATGACAAAGCAGCATTTCCCTGCTGCCCACGCCCTTGCATCTACAGCTGTGTCAGGCCCTCTGTGGGCTTGGCCAATGTGCTGCTGCTTATGTTTCTGTCCACCTGCTGATCATGTTGCTGTCATTGTGCTGCACATCCTCCTAAAGATGTGCTCTCCTGAGGTGGTGTGCAGGCACCCTTCCTGTCCTGACACTTGCCCTTGTGGCCAGAGGAGGCCGCTTGGCTCCCATGGGTCCTGTGTTGGGGCCTGGCTGGCTCTGGCCTGGATTTTTGTTTCCTCCCTGCATGTGTCTGTTTCTTCTGACTAGTGATGGGGCCATGGTCCGTCCCGCCACCGCTTGCTGTGCTGCCCACTTCTGGGGGTGTGGGTGAGGCTGTCCTACCTGCTGACTTCGTGCTAGGCCCTGCTTGCTGGACAGGGTGACCAGGCACTGCCCAGGGGAGGCTGGTGGTGCAGACAGCAGGTCCTTTCAGGCTCCCTGGGCCTGACCTCTGCAGAGAAGAGCCTGAGAGTCAAATGCTGAGGCCCTGCCTGTCTCCTGCTTGGTACCTACCCCCAACCTTTGTAGGCCCTCCAAACCCCAGCCCCTTCACTGGGTCTGACATCTGAACTTCTAGCTTGCTGTTGTTGTTGTTGTTTGAGACCAGTTTGCTGTGTAGTTTAGGCTGGCCTTAAACTCACTGCATAGCCCAGGCTGGCCTTGAACTCCCAGCAGTCCTCCTGCCTCAGCCTCCCAAGTACTGGGATTATAGGCGTGCACGAACTTTTAGCTTTTTGTAATGATTTGGTGTGTCTAGTTTTCTGTTCCATGGAACTTGGAGCCTATTTCTTCTCCAGATGTACAGCTCCACATATATATCACAACATGGTACATTCAGTCATCCCTTTCCCGATCTGTGGTCGTGGGCTGGCCATCTGGCTGTTTCCTGCTCCACTCTGCGTGGGTGCTGTGCTGTGGCTTTGGTGCTTGACAACAGCTGGGGGTGGAGGTGAGAGTGTGTCCCCCACCCCGTCCTGCCCTCCTGTCTCCTGAGACACTGCAGGTGGCACGTGGGGCTCCAAGCCCACCCTGAGGAGTGATGTCTGCTGTTCTCTGTGACCTGCCTGTTCTCTGGCGTGTGTTTTTCTTGTTTCCCTCAGCCACTGGTCACTTGTGGGCCCAGAAGCTGTGCTGCTCCACAGGCCTGTTAGAAAGCACTTGGAGGCAAACTGCCTCAGGGACATAGAGAAGGGGAGGACCACCCCAAGTTTGGTTGCTGCTGGGTACAGCACTTTATAGTTTGTTAGATTAAAAAATAACGTGTATTTATTGATCTCACACTGTGTGCCAGGCATCAGGCAGAGCTTCTGCGCCCAGGTGTCTGACCTGGTGCTCACAGTGGTGAAGTAGTTGCAGTCGTTAACCATGATCCCGCCGAGACGCAGCGAGGCTTAGAGAGGTTGGAGGAGTTGCTCTGAGTCAGGCATAGAAGAGTCAGCTGAGCAGCCAGCTCAGGGCTTGGACCTTCAGCCTTACTGAACAAGTACTGCATAGATGAGAGGGTTTTCATCCCAGTATAGGTGCCGCTCCGTGTGGAGGGTGGCAGGAGGAGGAAGCTAAGGGCCCCTGAGGAGGACCCTTCACGGCTACCCAGTACCTCCCTCCTCTGGCTCTCGGTGCTTGTCCAGGTCCGCATCTTGTAACTGTGTGGGGCTCTTTCCTGGTGGGTTCCCGTGACCTGCCAGGTCTTGCTGTCACTACTCTTCTATGCCATCACTTCCTGAAGCTTGCTTAGGAAGACTTTTCCTGTTCCCAAGAGGCTGGAATCTTTCCCTGTGTTTCCTGCTGCTGCCTTTGCTCCTTCCATGATTTTGTTCCTGTTTGGAATGTGACGGTCTGATGTTGGGCAAAGTGGGCATTTCATATTTCTTCCCTTGTGGAGAAGGCCTGCCCAGCTGCTCCCCGGGGCTCTGGGCTGATTCTCCCACTCACCCCACGCCGTGCCTTCCAGGGGGTCCCTACCTACCGCCAGTCATCTGGCCACCTGCCCCACCTGGTTGGGTGCTGTGCTTCACCATCCTGGGTGGAGGTGAAGGCATCGCCTGCTGGATCTAAGTCCAGCATTTCTATCTGTGGGGGCTCTGCTCTCCCACTTCCTGGTACTTTGCTGCCTTAAACCTACAGGGATGCTCTTGGAAATCCTACCGGGTAGGGGGCTGGGGATTTAGCTCAGCGGCAAAGCGCCTGCCTGGCAAGCGCAAGGTCGTGAGTTCGGTTCCTGGTACCGGAGAAAAACAAAACCAAAAAAAAAAAAAAAAAAAAGAAATCCTACCGGGTATAGCCGCTCTCTCAGCACCTGGCTTTCTTACCTGAAAGCTTCCGTATGGAAGCTTTTCCATTTTATCAGGTGATTTTGTACCTGTGCATAGGGATGTGTTGGATTTGTCAGCTGTTCTTCTGGTGCTAAGACGGAACCAATGCGCAGTCTACCTCCCAAACCCCTACTGTCTCTGTCTTTGAGATATCATTGTATGATGGGAATGATCCTGATGTTTATTCTCAAGTAGAAAAGAATTAGTCTAAATCTGCATAACAGAGTGGAAAAGAATGGTTTTTTCTAAGCCAGATATTTTTATCTCAGATGCTCTTAATCTGATAGCAGATCTTGAACTGTGTTCATAAGTGCTTTTGAATTTCAGCCACTGTGGTCAGGATATTACATCATTAATGGACCTACTTTTTATATATTTTAGACCCAAAGCTGGTCTGGTGAATAGGCTATTTTCCCCGAAAGATCCGTATTCTGAAGTGACCCTTAGTCATCGCTGTGTTTGTGGAATTCTGCCATTTATTTAAAGACGAATCTTGCTGTTTGGCTAAAGCCGGCAAAAATCTGCATCAGATCCCTATTTCAGTGCACAGTGGCTTTTTTTTTTTTTTTTTGCACAGTGGCTTTTTAACACAGACTAATTTATTTGGGGATCTAAATAAGTTTAATTGTAGACATTTGTCCTTTTAAAATGTGAAGAACATTATTAATTCAGAAATTAAATTTTGAAATGAAGTCGTTTGTATTTTATGAAGGATGAGGCCCTGAAACTACACTGAGCATGTTGAATTCTTTAACTGCCCATGTTTCATGAGAATAATTTCCAGTTTTATTTTCTTGTGATTTCCTAATGTGAATCTCTTCTTTGATTGAAAGTTTTTGAGAGATCTGGCTTCTGGTCTGGCAAGGTCTCTTGAGAGCTTGTTTGGAGGTTCTAGCAGGGGAGCGCAGCTACTCGTATACCCTTGACCAAGAAACGGTCCTCCTCTATCGGGGTGGTCGTCCTCTTTGACCGAGCGCACAGCTTCGGGAGGGATGCTCATGGAGCATTGAGGGAGGAAGGAGACACCCACCTAGGCAGCCAGATCAGCTGAATCAACCCTGGTGATCAATGGGGTGACAGATGTCGCAGCCAGATGACCCTCACATCCCTGGCGAGGTCTCTTCACGGGCAGGAAATGGCAAGCATGTGACCTAGCAGGCAAGACTCTATAGCAAGTGAAGTAGGGGCTTGGCTGCTGGTGGGAAACGGGACAGAAGGCAAGGAGAGAACCTGCCACCTGCACGTGCCCCAGCCCTGTGCTGCTGTAGCAGGCCGCCCAGGCTGCCTTTGTCTGGCTTTCTCTGGTTCAAGTTGAAACCAAGCGGCATCTTGCAGGGCGCAGGAACTTGAGGGTGGCAAGGTGCAGAAGAGGAGCCTTGGCATGAGCCTGGGGGTTTCCCCAACGCCCAAAGGCTGGGTGGGAGGTAGGGTCTCCACACCAGAAGAGCCTGCGTGGCTGCTGAGGAAGGAAAGGGGCAGGAGGGAGTCTTCCATCCTTGAGGAGTGTCGAAACATGCGTCTCTGCCTCTGGAAAGGTGCGTGTGTAGGTGAAAGGTTTTGCATGCATCTTCCTAAAAGTCAAGACCCCTTCCTGAGAGTCAGCCAGGTAGCTTAGAAACATGTGGATGTGGTGCAGAAAAGCTTTGCTTGGCCGGTGTGGTGGTACACGCCTGTAATCGCAGCACTTGGGAGGCTGAGGCAGTAGGATTGTTGCGAGTTCGAGACCAGCCTGGGCTACAAAGTGAGCTCAAGGCCAGCCTGAACTGCAGGCTGTTCCTTGAACCCTGTCTTAAAAAGACCAAAAAGAAAAGCCTCACACCTGTGGGTCTATACAAAGATAGGTGACCCATGCCCTGGGTGTGTCTTCTTCCCCATCAGTACTGGCAAGATTCAGATGCAGATGGGCTGACATTGTGTCGCAGACTGGGCGCGTTCCTTCCTTGGGTAGACAGCGTAACTGAGGCTGCTTCTGTCTTTCAGTTAGATCAGAGGACAGGTCAGTAACACTGGTGTGTGTTTTCTCATAGCCACCCACTGCCAAGATGCATGCCATCATCGAGCGCACGGCCAACTTTGTGTGCAAGCAGGGAGCGCAGTTTGAAATAATGCTGAAAGCCAAGCAGGCCCGGAACTCTCAGTTTGACTTCCTTCGCTTCGATCACTACCTCAACCCCTACTACAAGTTCATCCAGAAGGCTATGAAGGAAGGACGGTATACAGTGTTGGCCGAAAACAAGAACGAGGAGAAAAAAAGTATGTGGACCTGCTTCTCTCTTGATTCAGCGTGTCAGGCTGTGGTGGGTGAGGGTTGATTCCAGAGGACTGGAGGGGTGCCACCCTGAGATCTAGGCCTGTAGCAGATTCTTAGCTAATCTATTTTAGACATGGATGTAATAAAAATAACTCTTGATCCCATCTGAACAGAATTGTCTTGGTGGGAAAGTTTTTCTCTTGTTTGGCTTGCTTAACATTTCATAGAGAAAGTGGTGAGTTTCACACTTCGTCAGATTATTTGCCAGTGATTGTGCTTGTATACAGTGTTTAGGGAATGGAAGTGGATTGTTTAGTTCGATTTCCAAGGCCAGTTGTGTATCTTCTGAGTAGTGTCCAGGGACAAGCCTTTCTTTCTGTCTTTCACAGACTCCTGTTCTCCTCCTGCTGAAAGCAGACATCTCAAATCAGTTCCATAAATAAACCCCCTACTGATGGGGGTTTATAATAAATGCACCCCAGCCCAGTTGTGTGGTCTCATTGTAGATCCCATGTTCTGCAACTTTTTTATGGGTGTTTTTCTTTTAAATTTCTGTTGGTGTTACTTGACATTTCGTGAATCAGTAAGACTCGCCTTTCGATAAGTGAACGCCAGAGCTCTTACAGAGCCCCAGACTTGTGAGAGCTGAGCAGGCCACGATGCAGGTAGCGGTGGGGCCAGCTCACTTCTTGCCCGGCTCTCCTCTGAGCCAGTTAAGTGACTGGGGAGTGTGCTTCACGGGTGTCTGCACATGGCACCAAAATGGCCATGAGTAGCTCTACCCTTGACTGCTGTTGAGGGTTTGCATAGTGTATTTGGACTTTTTTCTCACCTTATACCAAAATGTATTTTAAAAGTTATTTTAATTGCACATACATATGGAGGACAGTGTGGTGGTCCAAGTGTACATTGACACTAAAATCATGAACTGTAATTTTTATTTCAGAGTCAGGGACAAACTCTGACAACGAGGATGAGGATGAGGAGGAAGATGGGAGTTACCTGCACCCATCTCTCTTTGCCTCTAAGAAGAGCAGCCGCCTTGAAGAGCTCATGAAGGTATGATCTCAGCACTGGACTGCACGTGTTCTTCATAGCAAAAGTACTGTCTTAGCCTACCATTTGTGATGTAAAAAGCAGAGGTCTGTGAGATTTAAGCACAGTTTTCGGCAGCCGTGCCACCTGGCTAATCCCTGGAGGGGATGATTCTTGCTTGATTGGACAATGAAAGTTGTTCATTAAAAAATCAGAAATTTCTCTAAGGAAGGATGAAGTTTCAAGTTTTCTGTGAGCTGGGACATTAACACTTTGACAGTTACAGTCTAGTCCAAGTGTCCCCTCCTTCCTCTGCTTAGCAGTTGTTAAGGAGATGAAGCCAGGTGCTTCCTAAGCTCCTCTGCACCAGCTGAGCCCTTGCCTATGGCTAGACAAGACCTCCATCTGTGTGTTGCCCCCTTGAGGAATAGAGGCAGTGGTTCCGGGCTGTGAGGCTTACTCCAGGAATGAGCAGAGGGGGACAGTCTGGATATGTGTGGCTCTGATTGAGGGTGGCACATCTAGTAGGTAAAGGAAGGCAGAATTTCAGAGGCAGAACAGTGTGATTCCCAACCGTTATCCCTGGCTTGAGGGTCAGTAGAAAGAAGGGTGTCGGTCCAGGCTGGGATAGGTAGCTGCCAGTCGGACATCCCTGCAGAAGAGTGCTGTGTGCAGGCTGCAATTCTGGCCCAGTCTCTTAGTTCATTATTGCTATACTGGGGATTGAACCCAGGGCCTTTGCATGGGTCTGCATCCCCGACCCTCCTTGCACCTCTTATTTCTGAAACAGGGCCTAGGTTCCTGAGTTGCTTGGATGGCCACTCTTGTCTGAGACACATGTGTATGTGACCCTTCCCCTCTCTGTCTTGCTGCAGGTGACTCCACCTTGGCACTGGCTGCTGTCACTGTGTATGTGTGTGCGCGTGCACACGCGCATTTGAGGTTTTCCTAGGTCATGTGCACTGCATTGTACAGTTGAGTCTTTTTGCCAGAATAGTTTTGCATGCTCAGACACAGAACATGCTAAGACCCTGTGTCTTTTCTGTCCTAGCCCTTGAAGGTGGTGGATCCAGATCACCCCTTGGCAGCCCTGGTGCGTAAAGCACAAGCTGACAGCTCTGCCCCGACCCCACACACTGCAGACGGCGCACCCACACAGCCGTCCCAGGTGGACTACACGACAGACTGTGAGTACTCACTGTGTTCCTCCTCAGCTGCGTCGTCCAGCTGCAGCACTCCCTCCTATGTCTGGGTCCAGGAGAACAGTACCTGTGGGGGATGTCCCTTGTCAGGCCTCTAGGCTGCCCCACTCCCAGCATCGCCTCCATCTTCCAGAAAGGAAGACGAGCAAGGCTCAGGGCAGAAAGCCGGCGCTGTCTGGTCCTGCCCCTTTAAGGCTTTCCCAAAGCCACCTTGTAACATCTCTTGACTCCTGATTGGCTGGAGTGGTGTCACGTGGTCTTCCCTCTGTAGTTCGGCTGGGAAATGAATGCACAGTTGGGCACATTGCTGCCCTGAACAAGACCAAAGTTCTGTGTTAAGACCAGGGAGAACAGATGTTGCGTAGATGCTTAGCATTGTCTGTACTGTAGGTGGTTTGGGGATAAACGTTGTAGCAGGACACTGGTGTTTACATGCAGCATTGAGTCGACGCATAGTGTTGTCTGTGCTGTGAACAGGTCTGTGATAGCATTGTGAGACAGCAGTGGTGTTGACATGTAGGGTTGGGTAGATAAACTCCTGTTAAGAAGAAGAGGCAGAATGGGCGCTGGGTCCACTTAGTACTGTCTGCCCCAGCTGCTCTCTTTGCAGATGCATGGCATAAGGCAGGTGTGCAGCATCCCCTGTACATCAGGAGAGGTTGGTTTCAGGACCCCCAACAGCTACCAGACCTTCAGGTCTCTTCCTGCAGACTTTCAAAATCATCTCCAGAGGATTTATGATACCTGGTACACAGCTAATGTTACTTGAGGAGTGGTTACACTGTGTCATTTAAGGCATAACAAGGAAGAAAGTTTGTATAGTATCTGTATGATTTTTCCCAAGTGCTTTTACCTGAGCTCACTTGTACCCACAGGAGTAGGACCTGAGGATATGGAGAGACGGCTGCATTGTGCACCGCAAAAGTGCACTTCCGATTCTTGCTGATTGCTGTTCTTTTATCTTTTTAATTACCTGGAGATGGTTCCTGAAAGCTGAATCTAGTGCTCTGTGGCCTCTTCTAATTATGTTTGGAGCTGAGTGCCGACCAGAGAAGCTGCTCCCTTGGAGCAAGAGCGCGAGCTGGGCTGGTCCTCAGCTGGCCGTGTACCCACCCAGCCCTGAGCGGCAGGCTGCCATTCTCAGATGCTGGCGACCCGTCCCTGGATCAGCTCCTGCTAAGCGTGGTGGCTGCTTTTTGCCTCCCACTTAGCACCAGCATACTCTGGTATCATTTTGCTGTGTTAAATTGATGTTCTCAGACTGTGAAAATCAGTTATTTGAGTGAGCTTTCTTCGTGTGTCCCCAGAAAACCTCTCAGAAAAACTTAGATGGTTTCTTTAAATAATCAAGTCTCATTCCTGAGCACTGCAATCAGACAAATCGGAGTTGCAGAGTGTTCTGTTAAGTCCTGTGGTCTCTTTTGATGGCAGCGTCATGTAGACCTGTGTGCTCTCCTCAAAGCATTCTGGTGCACGGCCCTTCAGAGTGGACCTCGACTAAGGGAGTTAGGGGCCTTCTTTAGCAGCCCCGTGTGAGGCTCGCACACGACTGCATCAGCAGTGCCCAGAGCTCTATGTGGCCACACTCAGTCCAGGCCAGCATGGAGGGAACATATCCCCGCCCCACTCGCTGCTGTCCTTGTCCAGTATGTCTTGGATTTGCTCACATCAGATGTAGCGCACTTGTGTGTCCACAGTGGTGCTGCTGCAGAGAACAGTAGAAATTCAGGGGAACACTTAGACTCAGCTCGGTCATGGTGCGGCCTGTGGCTGGGTAGGATGGTGGCACTGACCACAAGTGGCTACTCTGACATGACATCCATGATGGGGTGTGGGTGCTGAATGAAGCCGGGGCGTGCAGGATGTCGGAGGACTGGGCAGATTTCAGACAGTACATGGCAGGACTCCAGTGCTGGCTCACACAGCTCTGGCTGCCTCCTCCCCTTCCTGCTTCTTCCTGCAGTGAGAGTGATGCGTATGTGCAACAGGGCGTCAGGTGGGTCTGACGTGAGATGTGTAGGCTCCAGACGTCTGCTTCTGCGTCAGCACCAAGGGACACCAGGACCCCCGTCTGTGAGCAGTTTCTGTTTTGTTTTGTTTTTGTTTTTGTTTTTGGTGCTGGGAATCAAACTCAGGACCTTATGCTTGCCAGGCAGGTGCTTGTGCCACTGAGCTATATCCTCGGCCCTGTGAGCAGTTTCTAAAGGTCACCACCACAGCTCTTTAGGGTCCCAGAAGGTCCAAGGTGGGACAGTTGGCCTGATTGCAGTTTCCCAGGAGAGCTAAAGCTGAACTTTGGGGGTCTGAATGGCAATAAAACCTGTGCTGAGGCTCAGGTCCATCATCCTTTCATGGGCTAAGGGCTTTGTCTCACGTTGGTCTGAAGGGTGTGTCCCTGGGGTACAGCTGCTGCACACCCACCTTCTCTAGGTCCCACCTTCCTCCCTACATACCATCTTTTTCTGCTGCCACCTGGGCTGTCTTGTTCTGATGTCGTGTAGTTCTCTGAGCTGCCGTGTCCCTGATGACCTCATTGTGCTGGTAGGTCTACAGTGAAATGCTCAAGGAATATAGAGTCTTCTCTGGCAGGCTGTCAGCCAGGCGGTAGCAGCAGCTGTGTCCTACAGATTGGTTACACTTGGGAAGAGCCCGTAATCGCAGACTGACTGTGGAATGCATTTGCTTTGCAACTGGTGTTTGATGGAGTGTGTGTTGAAATGCAGCTCCAGAAGACTGCTTGTGGCTTTGGTTTAGCTCCCTGTGCTAAGCTCACCTGAGATCTGGTTGCCAGCAAGAGCTCAGCTGTGTTTAGAGTAGCAGGCAGGGAGATCACTTGGAGCACCACAGGGCTCAGTCACCTCTGCAAAATGGTGGCGTGGTTGGTTCCTCCATGAATTCTTTCATTGTGTGAATGTTCATGAGGGCACATTGTTGTTCCACTGTTGAAGGTTGTAGGCCAATTCCAGCTCTGGTGTTTGGAATGCTCTGCACTGAGGACAGGCAGCCAAGACTTGGTCCCAGCTTGCATCAAGGCCACATCTGTGGATTCTCCCAGGACCCTGCTGCTGGGTGAGTCTGCTTTGTCTTGTGACCAGGCAGCAGGAAGGTGAATGCAGTTGGAAGGGACAGGATGCTGGAGAGTGGGGCAGGCGTGGCGCTCCGTGTTGGCTGTTTTTCTCCTGGTTGTTGCCGGGTGTTACCAGGGGTCTTGTACAGACTCACTCTTTGCGCTCTCAGGTATTGTTTTGCATTCTTTGGGTGAGCACAGCCTTCCTGTTTCCTAAAACACTGACTTTGTATAGAAGAGGAGTAATATTCATGGGCAGTTAAGTAATTTTCTGAAGAGCACTTGATTTGTGGATTTTCACCTAGAAAGACCTCCAGAGAGTTATAAGGAAGAAAGCTGTATTGAAAATTCCTTTAAGTTAATGATCACTTTTTGGAAGACTCACCTGGGCAGAGCCATGGGCTTGGGCTCAGGTAGGGCCAAGACCTTCAGAAGCCCTGGTCGCTCTCCCAAGAGCAGGGTGCTGTGCACAGTAGACACAGCTGAGGACACGAGGAGCAGGTATCAGGAGGTGGAGAGTTGTGGTCTGTGTCACAGACTGCAGCCCTGGGTTAAAACGAGCTATGCATTCGTGGCCAGGGCGAGGTCTCACTGGGATAGAGGAGGGGACGCCTGTCTTGTCATCAGGGCTATTCAGGAGTGTTTCTGTGTCCCTCTGTATGTCTTGTACTTCTGACCTGTGGAGGAAGGAGGGAACTTTGGTGTTGTCAGGCTTTCCTGTCTGGCTGTGCAGGAGCAGTGTGTACCATAAGACCAGGCCAGGCCTTCGTGCTGCCCCTTTGGCCAGAGTCGTGTGAAACGCCCTGCCTAAGTGGAGCCGTCAGAGGCAGGGTCAGCCTGGGTCCTGTGGGGTGGCTTGTGACAGGGCGGCCTTGGGCCTGGACAGAGAGGGGAGCCTGCCACATGCCTGCAGCAGGCCATGGTATACCCCAAGGGGTCACAGTCTTGACCAGCTGACTGATGGCACAGCAAGGGTGACCCTGAGCCACACAGACCTCATGCCCTAGGGCCTGTCCTCCAGATGACAAAACCTGGTGCCTGGACGGAAACAAGATCCCATCCAGACACCTAGAGGTTGGACCCTACCTGGGATGTAGTGGCCCTGGGAGGGGCTCAGAGTCCAGGTGTGGACTAGCCACCATCTCCACATCCAGGACCCTGATCTGGTCCAGGACCAGGACTGGCACTGGGCACCAGTGGCTAAGTGTGGCTCTTCACAGGCCCATCCCTTCCTTTGTGACTTAGTAGAGTGCAGACTTCTGGTCCTCATGAAGAGAAGAATGGGCTCATTTGGCTGGTCAAGACCCAGCCCAAGAGGACTTTAAAGTGAATGTGCAGGGGGACAAGAAGGCTGCTGTCCAAAGAGGGGCTGTCTGTGGGGGTCATGGTGACTCCACACGTCCCTCCTCAGCAGACTGACCCTTGGCATGTTGCTTTGCAGGTGTGTGCTGCAGAATGCAGTACACAAGTGCGTTCAGCGGCCATTGGTCTGTCTGGGCACTGTGCACCCTGGGGACAGTGGGTGTCACAAGGATAAAGGCTACATCTGTCCTGGTTGGTAGGGTGCCCTCACCTTGCCCAGGACACACGGTTTTCAGGGTTTTGTGGGAGCCATGGGTGTGAGAATTGGGCCTCTATGCTCGTATACTTATTAAGCACATTCACTTCAGCAAGCAGGTGTGTGTGCTGTCACTGACATATGGGCGACAGCCAGGGAGTGAGATCTGTGCCAGAGTGGGCCCGTGGGAGGGGCGTGATGGGCGTTGTCTGGGAAGACCACAGTCCTGCTGAAGCCCCAAGCCAACTGTCTCCCCAGCCACCAGCAGAGGCAGGCAAGGCATGGGGCTGGCACCAGTAGGGTTTCCCTGGCTGAAAGAAGTGAGAGGAGTCTGGGTGCTGGGGAGAGGAGAAAATGAGG